AGGAACCATGCTCTCCAAGCCCCTCTCCATGGCCTTCTGGGGGAGACAGAACCACGCAATGGGAGGTACCTGGTAGTTGCCAGGTGCAACAAGGCAGATGGGGTGTCTGGGTGGGGGAAGGGGTGCTCCCGAGTGGCGTGGCAGCAGCTCTGCATCCCAGCGTGACGGACACTGCACATGCACGTGTGTGAGCAGGCGCACCATGACCGGCAAGAAGTCAGGGGTACTGTGTGTCAGCGAGAAGACAGACGGACGACTAGGCAGGCAGCAGTGGAAGCACACGGAAGACAGGCGTCCTCACACCGAGCCTCACATCCTGTGCAGCTCACCCCGGCCAGCGGCGGGAGGCAGAAACCCTTGTGTGTGCTGCGAGCTGTGACCACAGTGCTGCTCAGACAGCCGGTCCTGAACCTCAGGGCGAGGGAGCGGAAAGGCACGGGGAGGAAACCCAGCAAATGCCAGCACAGTTCTACCCGCACTGGGCACTTGAGCCTGACCAGAGGCTCGTGCTCACTGTCTCCAGACTGGGTGTCTGGCCAGGGAGCTGCTAGCTATCCCGGGGTGGTTTTGGAGCCTCCAGCCCGCAACGGACATTTGCTGCACAGGGCGGGCGGGTAGGTGAAATCTCAGCACACCCCTCCTCATGCCATCCTCCGGAGACCACGCAGAATAGCCACACTCACTACAAGGCAGTTTGCACTCCTGGCACCTGACCCCAGAGGCAGCAGCTCCCATGACTGACAGCCCAGAACCAGCCCTGTGTGTTTCCTAGCAACCTCTACGGCCGATGGTGGTGATGGTGATGGTGGTGGTGATGGTGATGATGGTGATGATGGTGATGGTGGTGATGATGGTGGTGGTGATGGTGGTGATGATGGTGATGGTGGTGATGATGGTGGTGATGATGGTGGTGGTGATGGTGGTGATGATGGTGATGGTGGTGATGGTGATGGTGGTGATGATGGTGATGGTGGTGGTGATGGTGGTGGTGATGGTGGTGATGATGGTGATGGTGGTGATGATGGTGGTGATGATGGTGATGGTGGTGATGGTGATGGTGATGATGGTGGTGGTGGTGGTGATGGTGATGATGGTGATGGTGATGGTGGTGATGGTGGTGGTGGTGGTGATGGTGATGATGGTGATGATGGTGATGGTGGTGATGATGGTGGTGGTGATGGTGATGGTGGTGGTGATGGTGATGGTGGTGATGGTGACGGCAGTGGTAATGGTGGTGATGATGGTGATGGTGGTGATGGTGATGGTGATGATGGTGATGGTGGTGGTGGTGATGGTGATGGTGATGATGATGGTGATGATGGTGATGGTGGTGGTGATGATGGTGATGGTGGTGATGATGGTGATGGTGATGGTGGTGATGATGGTGATGGTGGTGATGATGGTGGTGATGATGGTGATGGTGGTGATGGTGATGGTGATGATGGTGATGGTGATGGTGATGATGGTGATGGTGGTGGTGGTGATGGTGATGGTGATGATGATGGTGATGGTGGTGGTGGTGATGGTGGTGATGGTGATGATGGTGATGGTGATGGTGGTGATGGTGATGGTGGTGGTGGTGATGGTGGTGATGGTGATGGTGGTGATGATGGTAACAGTGACAGTGACGGTGGTGATGGTGATGATGATGGTGATGGTGGTGATGGTGGTGATGGTGATGGTGATGGTGATGGTGGTGGTGGTGATGGTGATGGTGATGGTGATGGTGATGGTGATGATGATGATGATGGTGGTGATGGTGGTGGTGATGGTGGTGATGATGCTAACAGTGACGGTGACGGTGGTGATGGTGATGATGATGGTGATGGTGGTGATGGTGGTGATGGTGATGGTGATGGTGGTGGTGATGGTGGTGGTGGTGATGGTAGTGGTTGCTGAGTGTGGCGGTGGTGGTGGTGATGATGATGGTGATGGTGGTGATGGTGGTGATGGTGATGGTGATGGTGGTGGTGATGGTGGTGGTGGTGATGGTGATGGTGATGGTGATGGTGGTGATGGTGATGATGGTGATGATGGTGATGATGGTGATGGTAATGGTGATGGTGATGGTGATGGCAGTGGTGATGGAGGTGATGATAGAGATCATAATGGTAGCACAGGGTAATTTTAAACATTTATTCAGGAAAATATTTAAAACTTTCTACAATTTCCGGCATAAAGAAGCCCTGAGTGAATACCAGCTTGACAACTGCCGCAGTTATTCTGATAAGACCCTGGATTGAAATCTGGCCCCTTAAGCCATCTTAAGTAGGCTGTAAACATCTCTCAGCTCTATCTGCTCAGACACCCTTCGAGGTTGCAGATAACCAAGCCCCATCTCAGTGGCCCTGTGCCGACCAGGGGAAGGAAACACTTTTCTTTGCTAAATGACTAACCTGGTTCACATGGGCCTGCGGTTCCCACAGCATCCCCAGCTCTTGGTCTCTCCGTTCCCAGCCCGGAGTGACAAGGGGCTTCTGAGATCTTCACCCCCAAACCCTCCACTTAGCCCAGAAAGAGTGTTCCAGCAAAGCATCCCATCAAGGTCCCCCACACAGCCTCATGGGCTGCTACTAGGGCTCACCATGAAGCCTGGGCCTCTCGACCACCCTGAACCAGGTGGGCCACTGAGGCAGGGAGCAGGAGTCCCTGAAGTGGACTCGGGTGCATTAGGTGCAGAGTGCACAGAACCAACAGGTAACCACTGCCCACCCATGCACAGGGCAGCGCAGGCCTGGCAGGCCTGCCTCTCGGGGAACACTGAGCCAGCAAGGGTGTAGTGAGAGCCTGCAGCACACCACGCTCACGAGCCAGCTTTCTGCGCCAACCCAGGCAGGGGGAGAAGGTGGGTTCTAACCCGGCCCCGGGAGAGCAGCTGAGGTTCCCACAGCCGCGGATGAGGAAACAGCCCCTTTCCATGGTCCTCCCGTTACAGGAAAGGGTTAAGACTGAGGGGAAGAACCACCCGGTTTGGCAGCCCGGCGTGGGGGAGCCCACCCACGACTGTGGCTTCCTGCCGGGGAGCAGGAGACGCTGGGTGGCCAGCAAGGTATGCTGGGCGGGCCTGGTTACTCAGAGAGGCCAGAGCCAGCGGGCGCTGGGGTCACGGCACGTCCCCCGGGAGCCATGGGCTAGTTCATTCTTCCCAGCTGATATCATGAGGCCGCTTTCTTCTGGCGGAGGAAGAAAACGATATCCTCCAGGAATGCTCGGCCCAGAGGCCGGTTCTGGGATCAGGCAGGTCACGGAGCTGTGGGACTGGAAGGGGCTGGGCATGCATGTGTGCAGAAGACATCTGGGGGGTCCAGCAGGAGAGATGGAGGGTCAGTGCCCATGGGGCTGAGGTGCACCTACCCGACCCCAGCCTTCGGGACAGGAAAACGTGGGGATGTGCGTCCTACTCCACGCCCGACAGAGCCAGACGCGGCACCTCACGCACCTCAGCTCATTTAATCCCAGCCTCACCCTTGAGACAAGACAGGCCGAATCAGAAATGACTGGCAGCGGTCTGCAGCTGAGAAAGTCCTCTCTGCCCTCAGTGACACAGGCTCGGGCCAGAGCCTCAGTTCTCTGAGTGGAGCTGGGATCCAACGGTCAGGAAGGAAGAGGAGCGTGGGACGAGGACGGAGGAAGGGAGCCGAGAGGAGCCAGCGCCCAGACCCGTCAGACCCCAAGAGCACATTGCAAAGCTGCTCACTCCCTCCCGCTGAAAGGAAAAAGTCCGCAAAGCCTAAAAGGCGACGGAGATCCAGGCACTGAGACCCAGCAGCCCCACAGCAGCTGTCCCTCGTTCCTGTCCCAGTGGATGGCTTTTCCACAGCCAGTTCCATCTCTCGGCAAAAGTGAGCCAGACTGGACGTGTGTCTGGAACGCAGAGCCCACTCTGCCCACACGCACGCTGCCCCGCGGGGCCGAGCTGGATCCCGGCCCTGCGGACAGGCTGGCTACTCAAGTCGCAGGCTCCTCCCCGTCCTACCTGGCTTCCATGAGGCCCCCAGGCTGTGCCTCCACAGGTCTGCATGGACCGTGGGGGCCCTGAGGCCCGGCCTCTGCTCCACAGGTGATGGCATGGCCACGGTCGGCCCCACATGGGGCTCAGACAGGAGTGGCTGAGCCTCTAGGGACTGCGTGGAAGGTCAGCGTGGTGCCGTGAGCAGGCAAGGGCTCCTGAGAGGTGAGGTGCGTCCCTTGGACCGGGACTCTGCTACCCAATTCCAGCTGGAGGAGCCACCGTACCACCCCAGGGACCCCGAGGCCTTGCGCCCACCCCTCAGCAGGGCAGCAGCTGCCCAGAGGCCTCCCGCTCGTGGGAAGTGGGATGTGTCAAGTGTTCCCAGCACACACACAAGGGCACACGCATGCACACGTGCATCGGGTCCAGCTGACTTTCCTGTCTCAGCCAGGCAGGGTGGGCAGGAAGGTGACACCCACGGCCACAGGGTACCGTGACCAGGCACAGGGAGCACATGGCTGGGGACGCTGGGCAGAACCCAGGGGCTGATCAGAACCATCTGTGTGGCCGGCAAGAAGTGGCCAGCAAGCCAGGGGCAATGCCTGCACTGTCCTGCAGAGCAGACGCCAGCCTCACTCAGGGTTTACAGCTTTTTCTTGGCCTGTGTAGTGTGAGAGGCTGATTAAAACGGGCCGGTGGGGCAGTGAGCAGCCCCTCGGGACGCCATACGGCACACAAGGGTGGATACCGCACTCTGACGTCCTGGGCCTCAGCTGGCTGGGACGCCACAAGCCTGGCTGAGGCCAAGAGCAGAGTGGAGCAACTCAGGCACCTTCCAGACTCTGGCAGATTAATAAGACCTCTCAGAAACGGATGGAAAGAGCCTGAGCCCTCCAAGCCCCTGGTGCTGCAGCAGTGTCACGGGCAGAACCGATGAGCGGGCATTGGGTTTCACGGGCCAGTCGCTGTGTGGTCCGCTCTGAGCGCCAAGACTTTCCAACCATACATTCAGCAGCGGTTACTCAAGTTTGGGTAAGAAAACACTTACCCAATTTCCCAGCAGCCTGCGGAGTGAGGGGCCTGTAACCGACGCAGGCTCCGAGTGCGGTTCCCGGCAGCACCCGTCTGCAGGGCCATGGGCAGCGGCCTCGCCTGGCCTCGCGCCCTTTCTCAGAGATGGGCAAGCTCCCCGGAGCATTACAGAGAATTTCACACCGGTGGTTCCCTGCCAGAGAGGTCGAGGCTCCCGGGAGGAAGCTGGAATGTGGACTAGAAAATGAAAATACACTGTTAACGAGGAGTCAGAGAAGACTGGAAATGCCAGAGCTGGAAGGGGCTTTGGAGAGGAGAGAAGTCAGGTCTCCAGGCCTCGGTGGCCCTGTCCACAAAGTGAGGGGGTGGGGCAGCCAAGGCCACCCAAGGTGTCAGCAGCTCAGCCAGGCTCAGACCCCTGACCCCAGCCAGGCCCTCTCCACAGGATGGGCACCTGTCCACCCAGAGTGAAGCCCAGGTGGGCCACTCCAAGGGAAGCAGAGTCCCAGGAAGGCTGCCTGCTCCTCCACCAGAGGGCGCAGCAGAGACTAGGGCACAGCTTCAGCTGCACCAAGAACCACTGAGCCCTGAGCACCCCTGACCAATGCTCTGTCTCTCAAGAAGGAGGGAACAGATGTGAGCTGTGTGTGCCTGTGCGTGTGTGTGTAACATTTACTGGGCCCCCAGCCCACCTCTACTTCACACACCAGTAAGCCACAGGGACACAGAGAGGACCCAGGGGCATCCCCAAAGGTGGTGTGCTGAGCAGGACAGGTACGCCACGGTCCCTCACAGCCGTGTGTCTTCCAGGATGGGCATGATCTCAAAGCCCAATGGTGAGCAGGTGACACAGAGATCCATGAGCTTGGCTGTGGCTGGTTGGCTGGGGGATGGCCCGGCTGGTGAATTATTGGTGGTTTGTTGTTGGTTGGGAGGGTTGTTCTCTGGTTGGTTGGTTGGTTGGTTGATTGACTCATTATTTGTTGGTTGTTCTTAGGTGGCAGTGGCTGGCTATTCGCTAGTCGGTTGCTTAGGTGATTAGTTGGCTGAAAGCAAAATTCAGATTTAACCCATCATGGAGCCTAAATGGAGCATGGATCTGGGGCCTGAGAGCACAGATCCCACTCCCAGTGCCATTTCCACCCCCTGTGACCATAAGGAAATTCCTTCACAGGGACATCTCCAAACCACGAGTTCTGCAACTATGAAACAGAGTTACGGGCAGCTGCTTTGCAGTCATATATATATATTGACTAGGCCCTCCACGGCACCTGGCGACGCCAGATGTCCTCACCATTATTATTCAACATGCAGTGATGGCTTTGATTCTGTCAGTGCACGACATCTTCCCCACAATCCGCGAGGCAGTGGCACTCCACGATTCTACACGCCATCGCCACAGAATCCTAGCAGTCCCCATGAGAAAGAAATGTGGGTCATCACACCCATTGTGTAGTGAGAGCCACCCCACGACTTACAAAGCACACAGAACCCTTGCAGGACTTTCAGGCCCATGCAGCTCAAAGCCCCCTCCCCTGGCCTAGTGGGATTAGCGGTCAGCACCAGCACAGCAGCCACAGGAGGTTTCCAAAGGACGCAGACCCAAACATGGAAGCATTCCAAACACTGCAGTCTGCATGCTCTGTGCACTGATGCCCAACACGTTGTGCGGCCCCCGAGCTCAGTCACATGCCTCATGTACAGATGAGGAACTGGAGGCTCAGGGAACAGGAGCCTCAGAACAAGTCACACAGCTCAAAGGTACAAGTCTTCTGCCTTTGCGGTCCGGGGCGTATATGCGAGGTCTTGAAGCACAAACATGTACTGAGCAGGACTCTCGGGTCCCGAATCACCTCTGAAGCTGACAACTGACAGTTTCATCCGAGGCCAGTGCATTTGTCAATGCGCTTTACAAGAAAATCCTTGAACACAAATGGACTAAACTTACTTTTTAAAATCTCCCATGAAAATTTCAAAGAGCCATAAATGAAAAATAAACTTCTGGATGTTAAATCAAGCATGTGAATCTGAAAAGTAGTAAACCAACCCAGATGCCAGCTCAGAAATCAGGCACAGCTCCCAAACGTGTGGCAGAGGACCAGGTCTGAGCCCCTCTCTCCAAGGGACACAGCCTCTGTGTCCCAGTCACACCTGGCTCCAAGTTCTTTCCTGCACCAAAACTGCTCCATTAATGCATCATGTCACTGTTAACCATATGGCCACTCCTGGTGCGTTGGCCTAGAAGATTAGACCCAGCAAAGGAGACAATTAGTGAAGTAGAGGATAGAGCCAATGGATCACACAGAATACAACACAGAAATACAGAAGTGGAAAACATGAAGGACAGCTAAGAAACATGGACGATAAAATGAGAAGCTCTAAGAAAATTAAAAAGATTCCTAAACGATCAAATAGAAAATGAGAGACAAGTACTTTTACATGAAATAATGCCTAAAATGTTTCCAAAATCAAACAAAGTACTGTTCAGGGCAGATGGATGGATGCTGGATGCTGGATGGCTATGTGGTGGATGGATGATGGATAAACATATAGTAAATGGGTGGACAGATGGATGGTGAACGGACAATGGACAGTGGATGGAGAATGAATTAAGATTCTATCGACTTGAACAGTAAGATATCCGTGAAGACTCCCCCTGCTTAAAAGTAAACGGCAAATGCCCAGTTCCCTTGCTGCCAGAGAACAGAAATAAATCTAATAACCCTGGAAATCATTCAGAACAACAAAAAAGGAACTAAACGACTACTGCAAATATAGGAATTCCACTACAAACTGACAAAAATTAAATCCATATCTCATTTCATAGACAAACATAAACTCCAGACACAATAGCTAAATATAAGACTGTTAAATCACTGGAAGAACGTAAAGGATAATAGCCTATGAGCTTTTATATGGATTTCTTAAACAAGAAGTAGATGTAAATCATAAAGGAAAAGTTAATCGATTTGGGGATGCTGAGAAGATACAAGACTGAGTCCCTTTGAGTGATACATCAAGGGTGGACTTTCAGTGATAAGCAGACCATCACTATCCTCACCACGACCATCGTCATCACCATCACCGCCACCACTGCCATCACCGCCATCACCACCATCACCACCACCATCATTTATGAAAATAACAGCATCGGCCACACACATTAATCTCACTCATTTTACTTGCCTTCACTCATTTAGTTCTGAAAACCCTCAGACCCATTAAGCAGAAGGTAGAGTCATTGCTCCCATTTCACAGATGCAAAGCTGGGGCTCAGAGAGGTTATGAAACCTGCCCCCATCCTGCAGCACAACCCCAAGGCTGGCCCCGCCCACACCTCAACCTGCCTCATCAGGTCCTGGCCTCTGTCTGTCACGCTGCGTTCCCACCTAATGTCTTAGAACAGCTGTTTGAAATCCACCGTTGCTACCCCTGCACCCTGGTGTGCTCTGCACAGTTCACGAGGGTCTGTTGTGACTTCCTAGGTCCTGGGGTTTGAGACCCCTGAGACAGGAGTTTCATTTCACATGGTTCATTTCATCCCAGATGGATGGGAAACACCAGGGCAAAAGCTTTTCTGAGGGGCCTGTCATACGCACATGAATATGGGCGCTGAGCCCGCTGGAAAGGGAAAGCTGTTCTGGGGAGCACTGGGGGAGCCCTCCCCTGCCTGCAGTTAGTGCAGAAAACTGTTTTTGCAGGTGGAAAATGACTACATTTCAACCAGGATCGATGCCAGAGGTTTTGCCAGAGCTCACAAGTGCCCACATGGTCCAGAGCCCTGGTTTGGCCACCTTCCTACTCATAACCTAGAAATTTCTACAGGGCTTTGATATTAAAAAATATAAAATACAAGATAAATTCAGCTTAAACCCAAATGAACAGATGTGTTCCCATTTTAATGCCACAAGGGTGTTTTATGGCCTGCATTGTGTTATCCTTTACACATCTATTTTTAAATACTGCAAACTTAACAATCATGATAGAAAACATAAAATTCTTTATGAAATTCCATCTCCAAAATTACAGCAAAATCGAGGCAGCAAAACATGCAGCCGATGCTGTCTTCAGCAGTGGAGAAGCCGCACTGCGCCTCCTGAGAACAGGGTGCCTGGCCGCGTCGCAGTCCCTCTCCAGCTGCCCCAGCCAAAGCTGAGCAGTGACAGACGCCACCGGGCAGCAGTCAAGTGTGGAAGCACAGAATCCACTGCTGCGATGGGACTGCGTCCGGTCCGTTCTCAGAGCTTCGCGTGCATCTGATCCCTTAACTCTCAGCCCTGTCGCTGTGGACCCCGAGGCATAGAGACCCACAGCACAGCCGGCAGGTGAGCCCGGGCAGCAGGCTCAGAGCCCTCCTCTTTCCACACTTTGCTGCCTCGTGCTTGGAGCTCACAGAGTGGTGGCCTGGCTTCCCTGTGGAATATGATTCCGTCCCTTCTGCTAAAGCAGTGACGACTCTTGGGACATGTGCTCTGCCACTGGCCCAGGCTCAGCTCTGACGGGCACTAGAGAAGTGCTGCTTCCTCCCTCTGTCAGGAAGTGGTCACGGCGGACCTGTCATGGGAAGGCGCCACTCTGGCCTTGCCTGCCACACTGAAGAATCCATGTGGGGAGGGAGTCCTGCCTGTCGCACAGTGCATACCACACCATGGTCCACAGATGCCGTAGGGATGGCAGCCCTGACCGCCGGCGACGGCCAAGGAAGAGGCTGGGGTATGGTGGCAGTGGCAGCCACCCAGTCATGGTCAGGACACCTCGCGGCGATGAGAAGCCACTGTGCCCAGAGTCAGCACCACCCCAGCCAGCTCGTGCAGCTTCTCTTCCTGTGCCGCCCTGCGAAGTTCCCATCCTCTGTCGTGCCGGTTATCACAGTGCCATCGGGGGTGACACCACGTCCCTGTCAGTCGATGCTGAAATGGCCCAGCGTGGGCTCTGGGCCTTGCCGCCTTCGTACCAGTGAAGTCTCAGGCCTGGACTGAAGAGCCTCGCCCAGGCCGCATGCTGAATGGAGCGGAGTGGAGGAAACCATTTGGTAAAGTTCAAAGCTCAAGCTTACAGCAAGGAGTCAAGTCACAGCTCTGTAGCCACCTTCCCTGGACAAAGGCCACTTCTGCTTCCCCTTGGAGAGATAACAGAGCACAGAACAGTTGCACATGAGGTCGGTGTTCCCAGAGCCGCGCGGCCACTCCCTGGCAAAAGTGAAGTTGAACCCGATGGGCCTTGGCCCAGCGCCCCGGCCCTGCACTGCCCCGTGCTTTCTCTCACAGGAGCCCCGGGTGGCAGTCGCCGCCTGGTCCTTCGGTCTGGAGCTAAGAGGCAGTGATGGCCACTTCTGTCACTTCACCTGCACGTGAAGCCAGGCCACCATTCTGTGAGCTCCAAGCACGAGGCAGCAAAGCGTGGAAAGAGGAGGGCTCTGAGCCTGCTGGCCCGGGCTCACCCGCCCTGTGTTGGGTCGGAAGTGCACCTGCATCTGAGGACCCTGGGACAGGCACTGCACAAATCAGCGGTCTCCAGTGTTCCCCGGAGCACCTCGGACCCATAGTAGAGGCTAATGTGGTCCCAGCAGCACCCTCACCCGCCCACCCTGTCTTGCCCACTTTCCTGGGACAGTGGCCCTGTCCTAGAGCCTGGGAGGGGACAGTCCACCCAAGAACACCAGTTCTAATGCGGCTCTGCAATGGGATGCAAGCCGGTGACCGGGGCGGAGAGAGGAGAGACGGATGTCACCGGCAGCATCCTTCCCCTGCAGACCTGAGGCTCCAGCCACCTGTGGGTGACGCACGAATGAAGCGTCATTATTTTACAGTAAATTAGATTAGATGCCTTCAAGCCGGTTTTACCTTCAATAATAAATTAAAGCCAAATCATACCTGAGGGACCAGAAGCGCCGTCACCTTGGGCATAATGATGGGATGATGAGAAAAGGTGCAGGGTACCCTGGGGACACGGTCCCGGGCAGGAAGGGGACGGAGCCAGGCTGCCGTCCGGCACGCACAGGGTGGAGGGGCTGGTGAGGCTCCAGGCTCCTCCAGTTCCGCTCTTGTGTGTGGAGGGATGCAACGCTGCGTGGCGCCTCTGCTCCGTGGGTGTGGGGGTGCTACCGGGGACCACAGGGACGTCTAAAATCCCTGCTCAGATTGTAAGAGATGGGGCACTGGTGGGGTCCGGCGATAGCAAAAGGTTTCTACTCCACGAGAAGCACAGAGCTGGGCTAAGCTGAGGCTGAGGTCAACCAGCAGTGTTGCCACATAAAGGCCCCGAGAGTCATGCCTGCCCGCCTAACACAGGTTACTCTCTTCATAATCTGCAGAAGAGGAGGCCTTGGTGACACCTCCAGGGGTCAGCCATTCCCCACAGGGAAGCTTCTCTGGACAGGTTTAATTCCTGCGAACTTTCCGAGGAAGATCTAAATTCCACCCTTCTCAGCTCTGGGCCTGGGACCCAAATGGAATAAGCAGTCTCCGTTTGTTGGGCCTCTGACTTTTCCAAACAGGACACAAAGATGAGCAGCCTCCTTCACATCCATGCAGAAGGACAGACTTCCCATCTGCCTGGAGGGTGCTCTTGGGCCGCAGCCACGGGAATCACAGCGCACATTCGGACTTCCTGATGCTCTGAAGAAGGGCTTCACCCCAGGAGGGAGTGCCAGGCCCCCTCTGCAAAGGCCAGGGCCCGGCCCCAGCCCATGGCCCCAGCCCCAGGATCTGCAGCCCCTCGTGGCCTGCTCCTGCTCGTGGGGCTGTCACAGCTTGGAAGGCCCACGTCTGCTGCTCCGGCCACAGCCATTTATGTTCCCTGCCGCCGAGGCCTGCGCTGCCAGCCCCACACCGAGAGCAGGCTATGGCGGTGTCTGTTTGTTGAAACGGGGCTGAGAGAAAGGGCCTCACCGGCAAGACTCCCTGGAATGTGCCCAGCGCTGTGCCGACAACGGCTCTGTCAGCAAGCTCAGGAAATGGCTCCCGGGGAACACATCTCAGAGGGAACGGGGGTGGGGGACACTGAGCCTGGACACAGGTCCCTTCTGTGCAGATGCCGTCCCGTCCTCTCTTGGTTTGCAGAGTGAGGCCCTAATTACTGTGACCAAGAAGAAAATCAAGTAGGAAATGTGGATTTTCATATTTGATGCCCAGAGCTCTTTCCAGAAGCGAGGCTGAGCTGCACTACAGTTCTGGGGCCTGCTAGTGTAGCCTCTCTTCCTCCCAGGGCCTGAACCCGTCTTGAAACAATAATCAGAGCACACGCACAATGGAGAAGGAAGTTCCCTGAGGGCTTCCCGTGCAGAGAGCCCTTCTGGCGACACTGACAGTGTTGGCCTCCCGTGAGTCCAGGCACCTCCAGACCAGAATGCACCTCGACCGGTCTCAGAAGCCCTGCCATGCCAGGTGTTACCCCCTTAGCTGCTGGAGTCCGAGGACAAGAGCGGGACATGTGGTGTCTGGATGCAAAAGAAAGGAGCTTGGCAGGAGTCATCTGCAAACAAAAGTGGCCAACCTTCAATATTTTAACCGCGGTCGGGGTACCCTGTACCTGAATGTCAGCACCTGCACAGCACCCACACAAGATAAACAAGACACCTCACCTGCTGGAGAGCAGGAGCCACTGCCTGGGGAGTTGGAGCCTGGGCCAGACCTGTGGCTGCTTGGCCAACAGAATGCAGAGGATGTGATGTTGGGGCTGGGTCTGCTGCATGGAAGCAGGCCACCCTGGGGGACAGACCAGCTACGGGGTATGTCACTGCAGAGGGAGATGCCAGGGAAGACGGGCCAGGGCTCACCAACACAGGGCCACTGCAGGAGAGACCTCAGCCAGCCAGCCACTCCCTGCCGCCCAGGGAATCGTGAGATGCAACAGAGGTTGCTTTGCTATGCCTTGGGGTTGGGTGGCTGTGCCACAGATGGCCAGAGCTGCCCTGACCATATCCCTGGCTCACGATGACTGGTGAAGTGGGCGTGTCCCCCACGCACAGACCTCAGCGCACTCCAGAACCCTGTACGCAGCACAGTACTGGGGGCCTGCCCGGCCAGTCCACGGAGCCTGAGAGTGGATCCAGAGCACCAGGCCCCCGCTCTCAGACCCGGCCCTCCTGGTCCCCACACATCTGCCCGAGGCCTTGTCATCCTTCCCACTCTACCGAGAGCACTGCAGGCCACACACCGCAGGTGTCCCAGGCCTCACTCCAGTGACCCACAATGTGCTGGTGCAACCCTGGCCAGCGGCCCTCCTGCCTCTGTACTTCCTCCCAGATGAGGAGGAAGAGGTCAGCTAACATCGAGGGGCCTTTCCTAATGGCGCTACTGGAACTGTTGGAAACACTCACTTTTTTCCTGCTGGAAAGAACTTCATTCTCGTGACCTTGGTTTTGAAATCTCCTCACCTACGTTAGTTAATTATTCAAAACCAATTGTCTTGGTCAAGCTGAATTCCTCCCCCCAGGCCAGTGTCTCCTCCCAGTATCACCTCAGGGTGACAGGGCCCAGGCAGAAATGAGGAGGAAACAAAGGCCACCTTTCCTGTCCCCTTCAAGGCTCTGTTCAGCCACCTCCTCTGCCAGGAGGCCCCTGGGGAGCTCTCCCTCCTCCTCCACTCTGGAACCTTTCACCTAACCCTGAGCTCCTGCCCCTGACATAATCTGACCAGGCCAGCCGCTGTCCCATGGCCCGAGGTGCTCAGAAGTGACACAAACATTCTAGTGTGTGCTTTGGCGACATAGTGCAAGAATCCTGAAATTCACCAAAGGTCATACTTGCTAACTCCTGCTGCAGGACTGTCCTCCAAGGCCACCAGTGCACACAGATAAAGCTTTCAACATACTGCTGTTCAGCAAGCAAGACCTGGAGCAGCACAAACTGGAAACACTGATCACAAGGACAAGGATGGGCCTGCGAAGGCTGCAGCTGCTGCTCACCTTCCGGTTTTGCAGACTCCTTGGAGAGGAAGGTATCACTCAGAGTATCAGGACAATATCGTCAGTATTTAAGGCTGGCTCCCTTTCATTAGGGAAACAATGCTGCGGGGGGGGGGGGGGGGGGGGGGGGG